GTTTCGTTACGCTGCCGGCGAGTTCGGTTCATTTTAATATGTATATCAGCGACGTTCTCAGTCGTTGAGAAATCAGCACAGAATTTCGCGACGAATTCTGACCACGATTTAAATATGCACTGGCCGTCGATCCAGTATTTAGCATAACCTTTTAGTTTTTGTTGCACGGCAAATAAGAGTACTTGATCACCCCATTGGTACGCGGCACGTAACATTTCAATTCTCTTTACAAATTGATTCGCATTTAGTGATGTCTCGGATGACGGGTCAAATTCGGGTAAAAGAGTAACCACTTCACTCACTTTGCTAAACGGATTTTGTAAATAGGCATTTGCAAACGGATAGTTCGGATAATATGAAGCGTACATACTATTCGGTTGCACATCGTTTCGCATATTTTGTTCGTTATAAAATCGTGTATTCATAAAACTATTTCCACCATTCGCTTGCGCTTGTGCCTCTGCAAAATTTACGTGTGGAGTGTTATTTTCATTTTGAACATTTTCATTATTCCAATAAGAACTCTGTTCGAATTGTGTACGTTGAATATACGGGTTTCCATTACTAGGCACTGGCACATATTGTGCTTGTGTAGTAGTGCACATTCGCGGTGTATGTATGTATGATAATGCTACGTTAGCTGGCGGCGCATGCGTAGAAGACGTCGACACACATGTATTCGCACTCGTTGCAATATGTTCGTTTCGCGGCGACGACACGACCGACGGACGAAAAACTGGCTCTCTTTGAGATTGACCGCTTTGTATTTGCACTTCACGCTCATTTTGCTTTTTCTGCGTTTGCCACTCGGCAATGGTTTTTTCTAGCATGTTGATTCTTTCTAACAACATCGATTCGTTTGCACTTACAAATTGTTCGTTCATATTCGCGTTTACGTTTTTATCTGCTTGTAGTCGTTCGATTAAAGTGTTCTTGTTACCTTGCGTAGCAATGCCATTTTCGCGACATATGCTGCGCAGCTCGGCAACTTTCATGCTACGAAAATTCATATTTGCTGTTTAACTGGAACACGAAGTTACAATTCGGACAATTTCAAACACAATGTTCGCTACGAGTGTAGATATGTTTGTATCGCCGAATGTCTCGATTTCGTTGATATCTATGCAATTCCACGAATCCGCAAATTTCAAATAAACGCTCGTTTCGTCGTCGTGTTGTGGCACTTTCGACGCGTTGCTCACACGAATGTTCTCGCATACACAAACGTACATGTATGTACATAAATTTTGTCTACTTTTTCGAGTCGCAATTTCACAATTTTGCGAACTATTTAAATATACACATAACGAACGTCAGAATTTTTCTTCCCGCACTTCAATGGGTGCACACACAGTCATTTATTTAATTTCTATATCCACTGTTTTCATTCATTAACGGCGAGGTTTATTTACGCGCACTTCTGATAATGTCAGTTGACCGTCCGGATTACCGATCTATTCTCCTCTTAACTAAAATACGAATTGTCTGTTTAGTCTAGTAATTTAGAATAATAATATATATGTATATTTATTAAAATAGAATGTATAATTAATCGGAAT